TCTTTTTGTAATTTTTCTTTTTTCGTGCATTTTTCGTGTGAACGATGTGTGGTGCGTGTATTATTCAGTCACCCTTCTTTTTTTTTAATTCATATCAACTTGTTTACTCGTTCCTTTCCACATTCTTATTCTACGCTACATCCTCTACCCCCATTTTACGCTATACTACCTTTGGCTGTTTCTCTGTCTGTGTAACATAACCTCTAAGACAGAAGCAGAGTTCTCGACGAACGGTGTTCAACGTTAGGAGAGAGATGCAAAGAAAGAAGAAGCGCGAATGTAATGTATCAAAGATGATGCAACGTGACTGTGGATGATGGTGGTGGAGAATCAGGGTCGATATTACAGGGTCTCGATTCTAGAGAACTAGATCAATCTGCCTTTTTACCAACGATTTTTCTATTCACTAGAGTCATCCTTGTACAATACAGTTTCGTTTTGTCGTTGTTGCTTATTCGTCCCGTTATGTCTCGTAGTCCCGCCCCGCGTACAGACACGTGCACTCGACACAGAGACCCCCATCTAGGGAAAAAGCAAAAAAAGAAACGGGGACAGAAAGAAAATTTTAAAATCGTTACAAAAGAAAAAAAAATATGCATACACACACGCCGCGAGCGGTGAGCGACGGTTATTGATATTTGGCTCGCTTTTGTTGTTTACAGATCACCCCACGGTTGTACTGTCGTGCAATTTGATTTGACTAGAAAGCTATCGAACACAATACAAAGACAACAAGATTGGATGGTGCGGATGCGAGTTGATGGATGTGCGTGAGTTCCGAAGCGATGACGATGATGGGGTGATGAGTCTGCACGTGTCCCTGCTCTGGCGACGGTATTCGAGTACCGACACGTCGAGCGCAGCCCCAATGGTCGAGAAAATATATACCTGTCTGCCGACAACGGATGATGAGGAGTGCAAGTGGATGTTGCCGATGAATGAGCCAAGGCCGAAGCCTACCGAGATGTTCCGGTGATGCAAGTATGCCTGATAACGATCCTGGGGCTTCTACCCGCGTGATTGAGAAGTTGAACCTGAGGAAAGGACGACTTCGATGGACGGTGATCGTGGCCAGTGAGAGAGAGAGAGTGAAAGAGTGAGAGAGAAAGAGTAAAAAGAAGAATGTGTGTGAAAAGACACGAGATTGAGAGTATGAGACATCAAAGAATGCGACAGGGAGACCAAACGAGAGAGAGCGAGACTGTAGAGCTGTGAAATGAAAGAATGTGCTCTAGCAATTGAACGTGAGAGAGAGAGAGAGAATGCTTTCTTATATATGTTGTTGTATGTGTCGTGAGATTACTTTGAGAGAGAGAGAGAGAGACAAAGAGAGAATGTGAGAATGTACAAAATAAAACGTGTCACTACATCGAATGAGCGATTAATATATATATATATACACACACATCGTCTCGTCGAGAAATAGAGAGAATGAGAGTGAGTTAAATTATGCGCACTCGTTGTAAAGCTCTAGCTTCTTTGTCCCCCTGTAGCTTTGTCAACGAAGCACGCGATCTGTTTCCGAATTCCTTGTTGCTGAACGATCACCATCGCTCGTTTCAAGCAATCGAAGCATCATCGAATGGTTGTTGTTGGCTTGCGTGTGTGACGTGAAATTAATTGAGCGAGATTTTTTTGAATGGTCGTCAGAGTGCTGGTGTTGCTATTCCGATGCAGCGAAGAAGTGATGCATGAGTGAGAATATATTAGAAGAAAGAGAGATAAATAGAGAGAGAGAGAGAGAGCGTGCACGCATGGAACGAGTGAGAGAGAATACAGGAGAGAAAGAAGTGAGAGTGAATGTGAAGAGATGTTGAATGATTTTCTTAAGAAGAAAACAAGAATAATAGGTCGGGAAGATTCGATATATTGATGACCCGTGGTCCGATCGTGCTGCGCGAGAATCTTAAACGATCAGTTTGTAGTATGATGATGATGATGATGATGATGATGATGATGATGATGATGATGATGATGATGATGATGATGCGTATGTTACTTTTTTCCCCGAATGTGAATGTCTGTTGCTGTTGATTCATTAAAATTAATATTTTGCTGGCATAAGTTATTGAGTTGTACCGAAGTCCTCGTCCGACCTGAACGTTCGAGCAAAAGAAACAAACAAACAAAAAAAAAGAACTACCATTGGAACAAAATAGAGCAAGAAAAAAGAACAAACAAACAAACGAGAAACATCGATCGAATGTCTAGCCCTACTAAAAAGAAGAAAAAAACATTACATTATACATTACCCCTATTGTAGATGTAATCCTGCGCGCATACAGACGAATTTATTTTTATGCGATCACACGATGTGTACCCGTGTTCCTCTTGATCGTGATCTCTAACGGAATATCGGACGAGAGCTTTTTGCACTGCCATTGTTAACATTTGAAACAACACTGGTGTACGCCTTGTCCGGATATACAGACACACACACACACACACACAAGGAATTTCCATTCGTTTTTTCCTTTTTTCCATTTTCAATACTCTCGACAGTTCGATTCGAGAATTGAGATTTTTTCTTTTTTCCACGTTCTTCAAGTGTTTGTCGAAGGGGTTCCGTCTTCCTGGCCTCGCGTTTCGTTGTAGAGAGAGAGACAGGGCGTTTAGCCGATGATCAGGCTGAAGAGGCTTTGAACGTTGCTCGTTCGATTATTCCGGTTGACCATTCAGGGAAACGCGTGCACGCGTGATCGTGTAAAAAGAAAAAAAAATACAAAACAGAAAGAAGAAAATCGCAAGTGATCCGATTTCGATGGTAATTGATATAGCCCAGGCTCGTCGTGCTCGTCGAGTGTGGCACTTGTATGATATTCAACGATAAAATCAAACGAGTTTGTATTCGCTGGTACACCGATGAAATACACAGATAATTCAACTTGGAGAACATTGAACTGGGATATTTCAAATGCCTCGCGCGAAAAAGGATTACTACACGCGGCTTTAGGATATGCTATTTTGCTTTACTACACGTAAACACACACACACACAAACACACACGCGCGAACATTTTTATATTATCCTGAGACGTGTGTGTGCGTGCGTGTGTATGTGTCATACATGAGGAAATTAGCGGGGAAATCTCGAGAACGTCTCAGGATAAAAAGAAGAAAGAAAGAAAGAAACATTTGGATCGAATTCGAATAATAATAATAATCTAGCTGCGGCAGAAAAATTGCCTCGTTTTTCTCGCATTTAAGGAGAGAAGTTTACGTTTTATTCTATCGATCAACCTCGCAAGATTTTCAGGTATTTTTTGTTTTTTTTTTTTTTAATCGTTTTTCCGTTTTTTCTTTTCGTCGTCGTCCGTAATTTTCTCGACCTCTGCCCGAAAATAGAAAAAGAACATATCGGGAGGAGGTTTTAGCACACACAGGGACGCGCGCGCGTTATTTAAGTAAGAATTTACCGCGAAAGATTAAGCGGACGGACGGTCGCTCTAATAATATAATACGAAGTTACGTCACGTGGTCGAAACGTGGCTGTGCTAGTGCCATGCATTCCAAATACTTCTGCCAGCGGAAGCACAGTGTGTGACCGTTCCTTTAAACGCGATGACGGTTCGGGGTTATAA